TATCGGACAACAATTCAAAATTATTACTGGGCATTTCAAAATTGGAATATGAATATTTTTTTGTTTTAAATCATGAATTTGGCAGTCTTAATTCCATCAAAAGCCCGTGAATTTGACATGCCAGGCAGTAGAACAATAAAAAAGATGCATTTATAGAATTTCATCCAACCTGAGATAAAAATCAACAGATTCTAGATTCAGAATCGAGTGATCGATGGCATATTAGTTCTTTTGCCATAAAGCGCATCTTAACGGAAAATTAGAGCTTTAGAAACATTTCATAAGTCATTGTCAGCGACTTGGGCAATTTTTGTAACTTTTGAAAACACGCGTGATATTAATCCTCTATTTCACTTAGCCCCATTCAGTTACCTCTACAAAGTGGGACTATAAATATTATGCAAGGTATTCAATGCATATTATGGTTCTCCGACATGGCAAATGTATTTAAGCAGCTCGTCTACAAATTGAAAAAAATTCGTTCGTTGCAGTTATGCAAAGTTTTCGGTAACTTAATATTTATCACGGTCTTCATGTGCAATTACGTCGGTAAACTGAAAGGACGAGCACTCTACAGCTGAATTAAGTTCTCCATCCCCAGAAAAAATCCACTCGTTTAGCTGCACCCTAAAACACCCATTAGAAAACCTTAAAAGACAAGGAAAGAAAAGGCCAAAGCTTCATTTCGGTACCAGTGGTTTTATCAAATGCTGATTACTATGCTGTTAATGATAAGAAGAGTGCATGCGCGCTTTGAAAGACAAAACTAAATTTGAAAGATGTTTGTAAGCTTGAGGTGGAGGAGGAGGGGGGAGGGGCTGGGCAAAAAATGCTCAACACTCCTATCAAATAGGCATCTGTTACTGAATAATTTCCGATTGCTTTTTCTCCGATATTGTCTATTGCTATTTTCCTTTGTGATGGATCTCAATTTGAGGATGCCACGTTCGGAAAGAATTGTTACATTTACTAATTAGCTAGTTGGTAAAGCAATCAATGACTATCTAATCACAGCGCCTTTAAATTATTCAGGTTATTAAATATTCCCCGTGGTAACATCCTCAACTCATTTCCGAACGTTATTCTACAAAGAAAGTCAAAATAGTCCTGCAAAGTTACAAGTTGTCCGCTACGGGACCTCTTTAACTTTGCTTTGCTGAAATATATCAAAGTTTTAGAGAGATTTACCCTGATTTATAAAACTGAAAAAAAAAATTGTTCTAGATGGTTCTAGCTCTAAACATAGAGGATCGTACTGCCAGTAGCGTGATCTAGGATGTCTCCATGAAGTCTTATTCCTGTTCTGCCAACCCAGGCATTGAAGTCACCAAGGAGAATGATCTTGTCATTGGATGGAGTCTGTGTTAACACAGAGTCAAGAGTGGAGTAGAATATCTCTTTATCTTCAGGTTCAACCTGTAGAGTTGGTGCATATGCGGAGATTACTGTCGCTTGTTGATTGGATTTTAGCTTCAAACGGAGTGTCATCAGGCGTTCGCTTACCCCAACTGGGAGTTCCTCCAGGTTCCTAATCAGCTCTTTTTTTAGGGCAAAGCCCACGCCATGTATTCTCTGTTCATTTTCCTCCTTCCCCATCCAGAAGAAGGTATATCCTGCTCCTCTCTCAGTCAGTTGTCCTTCACCAGCGCGACGAGTCTCTTGACGCGCAGCGATATCAATATTATACTGGCGAAGCTCACGAGCAACGAAGGCAGTTCGCCTTTCTGGTCTCTCACTAATTTCAGTGTCCATCAAGGTACGTACATTCCATGTACCAAAAAGGAGTTATTGCTTTCTTTGTTTTCGACCGCAACAGAGGTGAACCGGCTGGGTGCGGTAACCCAGCCAGGGAATATAAGGAAACAGACTATGTTTAGGATACCTTTTCTAATCCTTTCCCCATGTGGGGTGAGCAGAGTGGCTCCTAAAGAGGACTGCTCAGACATGGCGGCAACTACCGAACTACTCTTCTGTTCCCAACTCCAAGAGCAGAGCGACTGTAACTTGACCCCCACCGCCTACGTGCTGGTTCACAACTGAAGGCTTTCAGATCTCACAATCCTGCCCCCGTCGCCGCTTACCAGTCGCCGTAGGACTTTTGGCCAAGTGGAAGCTGTGCGTGAGTTTTTAACGTGAGTACAAAGTTGCACGGCAAAGTTCCCATGGTGCTTGGCATCACATGTCCTGGTTCCAATGGCAAGGATACCTCGACGACTGGAGGACAAGTTCTGCTGCAGTGGATGGCCGTTGGCTCGCGAGGAGCTCATCCGCCCTTTGGAGGTCTTGTTTTTAATCCTAACTGGGTGTCCACACACCCTCCTCCCCAGGCAAGCCTGTGGGGGTTGTCGGTTTAGTCGCCGACGACTCGACTATGCGACAGGTTGTAATGGGTTACATAGTACCAGTAGCAGGTTACCCGCGGTTACAGCGACCTGACCTGACGAACAGCTGGGAATATAATTATCCTTCAGTAGATACACCCTAAGAAGTTACCAATGTAACCGAAAATGCAGAAAGAAATGAATGGTTCACAATGATTGGACAACTAAGTGGCGTAAGAAAATGCTCTGGGAATATAATTAACCTTCAGTACATACACCTTAAGAAGTTACCAATGTAACCGAAAATGAAGAAAGAAATGAATGGCTCACAATGATTGGACAACTAAGTGGCGTAAAAAATGCTCTGGGAATATAATTAACCTTTAGTAGATACACCTTAAGAAGTTACCAATGCAACCGAAAATGAAGAAAGAAATGAATGGCTCACAATGATTGGACAACTAAGTGGCGTAAAAAAATGCTCTGGGAATATAATTAACCTTCAGTAGATACACCTTGAGAAGTTACCAATGTAACCGAAAATGCAGAAAGAAATGAATGGCTCACAATGATTGGACACCTAAGTGGCGTAAAAAAAATGCTCTGGGAATATAATTAACCTTCAGTAGATACACCTTAAGAAGTTACCAATGTAACCGAAAATGCAGAAAGAAATGAATGGCTCACAATGATTGGACAACTAAGTGGCGTGAAAAAATGCTCTTTAACGAAAATGAACTCTATCAAATAATAACTGGATATCACTAAGAGGTTGGCAGCTTTATCTTGGACACTTTTCGAGGATTGTAGATAGGAAGGCAAGAAAGACTGCTATTAAAACAGCCTGTGACGAAACACTGGGCAGCCAGAAGTGGTGCCATCAGGACTGGTTTGATGACAATGACGCAGAGATAGAGCAGATGATTGCTGAGAAACGTAACAGATTCTCTGTTTGGCAGAATGAAATCAGTAATGCTATAAGAAACAGCAATACCACGAAATGAGATCCAAAGTCCAACGCCGAGTCCGTGAGATGGAAAATAATTGGTGGATTCAAAAAGCAGAGGAGATTCAAGCTCTATCCGACGGCATAACAGCAAAGCCTTCATTGCAGCCACCAATAGATCTATGGGCCAACATCCCAGGGTGTTGCCAGTTGCAGGCAAGGATGGAACCCTTCACAAGGACTTGGCTGGCATTCGAGACCGATGGAAAGAACGTTTCTGTGAGTTACTGAATCAGACTCCCTCTGTGAACATTGACGCAATTGCGAATTTGCCTCAACTCTCCGTAAAAAGCCATCTTGACGAGACACCTACTCTAGAGGATACTGCCACAGCTATAGGTGCTATGAAGAAAGACAAAGCTGCTGGCCCTGGGTATCCCTGCAGAAGCATACAAGGCTGCTGGTCCAGCTCTCATTGAGAAACTGCATGTCCTCTTCACGCGAATCTGGGACGAGGAAGTAATTCCCAGCGATCCTCAAGATGCTCTGATTGTCACCATTTTCAAGAAAGGCGACAAGGCAAACTGTGAAATCTACCGAGGTATATCTCTGCTTTCCATTGCTGGGAAGATCTTTGCTCGCATCCTTGCATGCCGCCTCTTCCCCACTGCCGAGGAGGTCCTTCTAGAGTCTCTCTGTGGTTTCAGACCAGCACGTGGGACTATGGACATGATTTTCTCGGCACGACAAATTCAGGAAAAGTGCAGGGAACAGCATAAAGACCTTTATATGGCTTTCATTGATCTGACTAAGGCGTTTGACTCCGTACATCGGCCAACACTGTGGAAAGTGCTCTCAAAAACTGGATGCCCAGAGAAATACATCAGAATGATCCGTCTGCCGCATGACAACATGTCTGCATCAGTACTTACTGATGGCGAGTCTACCGAAAGTTTTGTAGTGAAGACTGGTGTCAAGTAGGGCTGTGTCATAGTCCCAACACTCTTCTCGATTTTCATCTCCGCCGTGCTACACCTGGTGTCGGATAAATTACCTCGTGGTATAGATATGCAGTTTAGGATGGATGACAAGCTGTTCAACTTACGGCGACTTAAGGCTAAGACATTAACCACTCACATGGCTATACTCGACCTCCAATATGCTGACGACAACGCCCTAGTGACCCACACAGAAGAAGACCTTCGAGTGGCTGTGGATGCCTTCAGTTATGCCTATGATGCGCTTGGCCTCACACTTAATGCTCGGAAGACACAAGTTCTTTTCCAACCATCACCTGATCACACACTTGAGCGAAAACAACCAGAGATCACAGTTGGAGACACACGCCTTAGCTCTGTTGATCATTTCTCGTATCTTGGTAGTTGCCTGTCATGCAAGGCAGATTTGGATGTTGAAACCCAAGTTCGTCTAAAATCAGCTAGTGCTGCCTTCGGTAGCCTCAGAGACAGGGTGTTTGATAATAGAAACCTCTACACCAACACCAAAATAAAGGTTTACAAAGCCGTAATATTGCCAACCCTGCTGTATGGCTCAGAAGCTTGGACAACCTATAGCCGTCATCTCAAAAGTCTTGAGAGGTATCATCAGCGTTGCCTTCGCCGTATCCTCAACATCAAGTGGCAAGACAGACGAACAAACAGCAGTGTTTTGGAAGAGGCTAATGTCACAAGTATTGAGTCCTATATTATCAAGAACCAACTTCGCTGGGCTGGTCACCTTGTCCGTATGCCTTCATCCAGGCTCCCAAAGAAGATTCTGTATGATGAACTGTCCAATGGAAGACGTAACCAGGGGGGGCAACGAAAACGCTTTAAGGATAGCCTTAAACACAACCTGAAGCAGTGCGGTATCAACCCCGAGAACTGGGAACAAGTGGCCAATGACCGGCCTAGGTGGAGAAGTGCTATCCACATTGGTGTGGCGCATAGTGAGCAACGGAGGAGGGAGCACTGTGANGTTTCTTCCAAGCAAAATGTTTTGTCCTTTGCTGCAGCAGATATGTCATCATCTTTATGACAGAATGGACACTACAAATAATCAAAATACACTGTGAGTCTCAATGTGATGTCTCAGGTTAAATAAGGCTAAATTTAAAAATATCAGAGTTAGGCAAAAATTATCAATACTTATGAGTCAATAAAAGTTGTAGTTGTTCAAAAGTAGTTTTGTGTTTATTAGCAAAGTATAAAAATAAACGTACACAGTATTGCCATGTATTTTAAAATACCTTAGTCTCACATCCACCAGTACCACAGCATTCGCAAGTCACCAGCCCATCTGGAGATGCTCCAAGAAAAGGATGCTCAGTGCTTAGAAAGAGACCAGAGTCTGACACTGTGAAATTTATATGCTTCTCTTTTTGGTATCTGCAGTAGGCATCCCTTGCGGTCTTCTCGTGATGACAGCCCCATTTGGTTGCTTCAGTATTAAAACGTGCCATTTCAGGGTGGCAAATACTCATAATCAATGAATGTGATGGACATGCGGGATCGGTGTGACAGGCATTCTTGAATTTTGAAGCAGTGATCCGCCCTGTCCTCATTCGAAACCAAAGCCTGGAACTTGCCTGTTCACGGGTCTTTTCTTCCACCAGTTCCTGCTGCTTTTTGGTCACCTGAAGTAGTTCAAATGCTTCTTCTGATTTTTTTAGTAGAGTAGGGTAGTCTGCATCAGCAAGGCTGTTGTCAAACAAACTAGACAACACAACTGGAAGTTCAGGATTCACAGATTTAGGTACATAAAAATCTGAATGAGCAGGGATGAGAGACAATAAGGCAGGTTTAGAAGGGCAGTCCTTGATGCAATTGAGGAAGTTAGTCAGTTCAGTCTCTGAGGGAGGTGTAACATTAGAAGGCTTAACTGTCGAAGTTGAACGTGGGGTCTTTGAAAAGTTTATGTCTTTGACCCTTGCATATGGAACAGTCTTAACTGATGTTGGTAGAACCCAGTATGCCTTTTTGTCGGTCACTGTCAGCGAATCCCTTCGTTTACATCCCGCTTCAATGGCCCATAGCAACGAAGCAACATGGGAGCAGCTCTCTCCAAGACCAGCCATGCAATCACAATGAGCAGACAGAACTTTGCCCGAGTTTTCACACACGACCCAAGGGGTCAGAGGCTTTTCTGACATTCTTTGAGAATGATTAACCTAAAAAATAAAACGTAGTAGTTACTATACTGTAAAGAATCAACGATCGGCGCGAGAACAGCTTGATCCATCATTTACGAGTGTAAACACTCTTTAACAAGACGTTATGAAAACTTACCTTTGCTATTAACAGGCGATTTTCGCCGAATTTCTTGCACATAACTTCCCTTACCCAGCCGTTCGCAAAGTTCTGATAGCAGTCTAAGCTTTTATAGCTCATCAATTGCTCCTGGGTGTACGGGCTAGCAGCAAACAGAAGATACATCCCCACGTTTATGTACGTTACGTCTGGCCAGCAATCGACATCGTCAATCCACTCTTTGCGCGGAATTTCGTAAGGATCTTGTCCTTCGATAGACTTTAACTTTTCGAGATATCTTTCCTTTGATTCTTTCTGCTGTAGATTTTCAAAATAACCGGGTAACAACCCACGCTTCGAAGTCGCTTTCGCCGCCATGCTGTAAACAAACTGAAGCTTGTCCTCCAGTTCGCAATGTCACGTGATGTGACGTCACGCTTGAAATGGGTCTATACCGTATTTACCTCTCAATCCGTCACAAAGATATTTTGGACCACTCTTCCATTTTGGATTGGAGATGAGAGGAAGAAAGGCGTGTGAAATAGGCTGTCAATAATTTCCTGTGTTGGAATATGATGATTGTATTGGAGAAGGTCTATGCTTATTGCCTTCATAAATTAGGGAGAGAATATTGTTGAGTTTGTCAGTAAATATGGCAGTGTTTTCATTTGGTGGTCTGTACACGCGACTGACAATGATTTTTCTTTTTTTTCCATAAGGAACGATAATTTCCCAGAAAAGTGACTCAATTACATCTGGATCTGAGAATTTGCATTCTTCGCATCGAAAAGTTTGTATTCAAGGCCGTTTGGTAAAATAAATTCCAACTCGGCCGCCTGTTTCCGATTTACGATGGTTGGAGACAATTGTATCCTGTAATGTTTAGAACGGCATATTAAGATTGTCAGCAATTAATTAAATTTATCGAGATTTCTCATTAAGCTTCGAGAATTTAAATGTATAATGAATAAGTTTGTTTTGTCGCCAAAAATAGCTACTCAGGAGAAGACGCAATCGCATAAGTCGTAGTGTCATCGGCATACATGTGAATATCACCATCGCAATCCCCTGCTATATCTGGCAAATCGCTGCAAAACAACGAAAACAAGGCCAGACGCAAAACGGATCACTGTGGCACGCCAAACTTCACAGGTAGGATTTCGGAGTGAAAACCATTTACGACTGAGTCTTGAGAGCGGCCAGCTAAGTAATCTTTTATCCAGCACTATAGATCGCCAGCAACACCAACTGCTTGCAACTTTTTCAAGAGGACATGATGAGAGATGGAATCGAAGGTCTTCAGGAAGTCAACGGAGGCGATGGCAACCACTGGATTTTTATCCAGTGCATGTCTCCAGTCCTCGAACATTTTTACCAACAACAACTCGGTGTCCTTGGACAATCAGCTACCCACAAAACTAGAAGAAAGGACGGAGGGCTGGATCGCAATCACGGATATCGTCTGGTCACCCATTTAAGATGACTTCCCTGAGAAATTTACAGATGTGATCTTGGAATGATTCTTTTTTAATCAGTTACAGTCTCTAGGGAGAAACACGCAAGGTCTCGATATGGTCCACAAGCTCAAGAGACTTCACTTCCTCACAAGATGCCGTTTCACGAAGGTAAGTACGGTTCAGAGTATCAGCAATATACATGAGGGGGACTTTCTTGTACCTAACTGCGTGATTATAACACTGAAGGTGAAGAAGCATTCGCTGTAGTCTGCAAAGCCCACTGGCTGCTGTAATTCAAGTAGAGAGGCTCTTAACCCTGTATCAGAAGCATCACATTAGGGGGTAACCTCGTCATTTAAGCCGTGGTAACGTAGGACAGGTATCTACGTGATGGCAGTTTTGATGTCGTTCCACGCCTTTTCTTGTGAATCTGACCATATATAACCACTCCGCGTTTTGCGCAGTCAGCTGGCGAAGCAGGTTAGACATTTCTAACAGGCGAGGGACAAATTTAGCCAAGTGCTGAACTTTCCCATTAAAGTGAAGTAAGCTCTTGACATCAGTGGGGCGTGGCATTTTAAGTATGGCGCAAACCCTGTCCGGATGAACTTTCAGGCCCGATCAAGTTCTATAGTGACCTATCAAAGGAACTTCTTCCAAGCACAGTTGAAGTTTCTCTACTGCAATCTTTACCCCACGCTGGGAGCAGCGCAGAAGAAAGGCCTCAAGGCTTCTGTGGTGATCGCAGACCGCTTCCTTATATGTCTCTGCAAAACCAGCCACAACAGAATCAGCTGCCACAACCTCGGTACTGGTGAGACCCTCATCAGCTCATGAATTCGCCGTTGAAAAACGTCTGGGGCAGAAATTATAACAAGCAGTATTCTACACCATCGATAGCGACCAAAGGGTGTATGGAAAGTGGTAAGATAAGACGAATCTTTATCCAGCTTCACGTGCCAAACACCAAATTTTGCGTCCAAGACTGAGAATATTTTAGCGCCATGTAGACGAGTAGCAATATCCCCCATACGACACGATTGACGACTTTACAGGGCTTACGTCCTTAGGGCTGTTGCCTTCTTATAGATGTGATAGGGTAAGCAGTTAAAAAAGAAATAAGCCGGCTTCCCATTTTTGGTGTCCTGAACCTTTATAATTAGCAATCTGTGTTTAAAGCTTAACATCTTGGTAGCATGACAAATGCAGCCTATAAGCAGCACACTCGGAACTTAGAAAATAGTCCCCAGTACTGCTAACGACTCCTCGCAGATATTGTTCACTCCTCTGTAATTTCAATTTAACTATTTTAAAAGATTTATTTTAGTTAAAACCCATTTTTTATACGACTAAGTTGCCCGATCACAGGGCGTTATTCATATTCTTTCTGCACTTTCAGTTACATTGTCAACGATCTATGTCAGATTCATGGCTTCGGGATATTGCATTTTTATCGTTGAGATTGGTTGACTCAATTCACTCAAGTGTTGCTAGTTAAATTTTTTCAGTTCACTTCCCTCGATCAGTTCCACCAAACAACGGTTGAACAAAAATTCTGTGCACAGCTTTATTGTTTAAAGACTTAGCTAAAACTTAAACGCACTTGAGTGCTTCTTAGGAAATTTTGTACCCTATCTCGTATTCTTGAAAATTTCTTATATTTTAATGAAATTGCTGTATCTCGAATAAATATGAAGGGCCGGCTGTGTAAATTGCTTAGCGTTGCATTTTGATTAATTTTCGATTGTACAGCAACACGTATCTCATGTGATTATTCTCAGTTTTTACAGTCGGAAGAAGCATTAACTTCCGATTGTTTTAATCACAAAATATTAAGAGTGAAAAAAAAGGAGTGAGCTAGCACAGCATTATTTACAAGAGGTTAATTTGACCAACGTAGTTATTCCATTTGCGCTTGTTGGTTGCGTGACCGGCCGTAGTCTAGTCGGCGCTTCGCGCGTCCTTCCGATTTACTATCTCATATCTAATGCCCGCTCGAGGTATCTACATAGATAGCTGTTAACTATACGTATAACTGCACGTAAGTTATGATATGCGAGTTGTAATAAACTGCAACTTTAAATTCAGTTTAGCCGCAAGTCCTACAACCCAAAAACTACCCGAAGTTTGTCTGATCAAGCCAGTGTTACACCCGAAATACACTATGGAGATAGGCAACTGGAATGTAAGGACACTTTACAGAAGCGGCAACATTGCACAGGCAGCGAGGGAAATGAAAAGGAGAGGTATAGATGTAATGGGCATTAGTGACACGCACTGGACGGGACAAGGAAAAATGCAACTTGTAGAGAGGGAAACTTTCATTTACTCTGGAAGAGTTGACGACAACCATAGGGAGGAAGTTTGAATACTGATGTCAAAACATGCAACAAGATCTCTAGATCTAATGGACTGGACTCTGATCAGCGAAAGGGTTATTCAAGCCAGATTCTATTTCACATACATTAAACTTATGATCCTCCCATATATATGTACCAACTGAAGATGCAGATGAACAGACAAAAGATGAGTTCTATGGGAGGCTACAGGATGTGATAGACAGTGTCAATGAGCATGACATGTTAATAGCAACGGAGGATATGAATGCTAAGGTTGGAAACGATAACTGGGCCTACGAAAGTGTGATGGGCAAACACGGGCTGGGGCAAAGAAATGATAATGGAGAAAGGCTTTGCGATATGTGTGATACCAACGAACTAGTTCTAACAGGAACATTGTTTCCACATAAGACCATTCACAAAGCAACGTGGGTCTCCAAAAGTGGGAATACCATAAACCAGATAGACCATGTACTAATTAGCAGGTGATTTAGGAACTCAGTGAAGGATACGAGAGTATACAGGTCGGCCGATATCGGAAGCGACCACCATCTTGTATGTACAGTAGTCAAGTTGAGACTGAACAAGCAAACGATACAAGTACGATACAGCAAAGTTTAGGAATGAAGAAGTGTTAAAGAGGTTTAACATTGCCTTGCAAAATAAAGTACCAAGTCTTGGAGAATAAGGAAACAACAGTTGAAGAAAATGAAGTGGAATAAGACTTTCAGGTGATGAAGAAGGCATATACAGAGGTTGCAGAATTAGTCTTAGGTAGACCTCAGAAGAAGAAGAAGAAGCCGTGGATAAGTGAAGAGTCAAGGAGCCTCATAGACCGAAGAGAGAAAATTTATAAGAAGATCCTGGGACCACGGTCAGAAAGGGTCAAGAAGCAGCTCAGGGCAAAGTATGTAGAAAAGAACAGGGAAGTGAAGAGAAGTATAGAGGCAGACAAAAAGAAATTGATGGAGAACATCACCTGTGAGGCAGAAGAGGCTGCAGGAAACCAACACATGAGGATACTATATGGGCTCACGAAGATATCATGCAATGAAAAACCAAAGCAAACCACAGCAGTGTTAAATAAAAATGGAAACCTCCTCAATAAAAGAGAAGAGGTACAGGCACGATGGACGGAGCACTTTTAATAGCGGTGAACCAGAAAACACAGTCTTAAGTGATGAGCTATATGAACCGGAAGTTATTGACATTATTGAAGAGATCTCAGTAAGTGAACCAACTCTAGGTGAAGTCAAACAAGCTATAAAAAGATTGAGGAATGGGAAAGCGTCAGGAGTTGACTCTATCACAGCTAAACTATTGAAAGCATTGGAGCTGGTTTTCCACGACAGCTCTAAATTTGAGTTTAAAGCAAAGATGAGATGTTCGGGCTAGACCAATTCATATTCTCTTCCTCCCTGAGTGGACCACTTTATTCTTACTTGTGATCGAAATCTAAAACTGATCTGCCAACTCGATCATTATGGGGATCAAATGCGTTTATCACGCTATAACCTCCCCTGCCGCCTTAAAAAGAGGAAGGAGATGCGTTTTCTCCTTTTTCTTGCAGTATTCCGGATCTTTTATGATGCTAGTAAACTGACAGAACGTATGGTCTACAGCTAAATCAAATTCTCAACGATCTAACTTGTGAAAAGATCA